CCCAAATCTAACCGTTGATTCATTGGGTTACTCTAGCCTTGTCAACTCAAAATTACCAAAATGCCACTACATATATATATATATATATGATTTTTTTCTTCATTTTTGTGAATATCTTTTCATGCTACAGAGATTTAGTAGGTTATTTACGTAGAAGACACAATTTTCCTTAGAAGAATTCTTCATCTTCAACCTCCCGATTCTCCTACAAAAATCTCCTAGAAATCTCCATTTTTCTCATGTTTTCTATGTTTCTAGCCAAAATACACTCCAGACTTGTAGCATGTCATGGTTGGGGGATTTCATGCTACAGTTTAAGATTCTAGGTTGTCTTTCTTGATGATCAAAGGGTCAACTAGTAGAGTTGGCATTAAAACATAGAATCAAGCCTCCATTCAAAAGCCCCCACACCAATCATCCTTCCTTCTTCCATCACTACTTTCAAGTTTATTCCTTTTTGTTTTGTGGAAGCTTAAAGAAGATTATTATGTTTTTAGCCACAACATGAAGGTTGTTTATTTTAGAGTGGGAATATTTGTCAAGGATAGTAGAGGGCACATTTATTGTGTTTATTATTATTCTACAACATATTTCATACAAATGTGCTTCTCAAGTTGTAAAAGTCACTCTTTTGTATTTTCTATCCATGCTACTCCTATCATAATGTATATCTCTTTTTCATTATTTTTGGTAGTTATGTAATCGTTCTTAACTTTTGAAATTTTGTCATCATTGCCCAACTCTCCTAACTTGGCTGGGGAACTTATACTTTTAGACTTTACTAGATAACTCGAAGTAGACCATCTTTGCTAAATAGAGGGAGACTGCTCGTGGTACGTAGTCTCTTGCACATGAAATGGATGCAAGTTAAAAGGACCCTCCTCATCTCTTGTTGAGGGCTATCTTGGTCAGCTTTCACGTCATCATTGCTACTGACTCATCAACCCCCTACCCCAACATCTACGAATTGCCACAAAACTGCTCTAGATCAGCATTAAGACCTGCTAACATGGCATACTTAAAACTAATGGCGAGCCCAATTAGAAATGTGGCATCCACTCATTGATTTTTTATTTTAGGTGTAAACAGCTCCTTTCAAATTTTTTTTTTTTTTTTTTTTGTACATTAGAGGATTGGTTGCTTAGCAACATAAAGGTTTGAATCTCTAATCTTAACCCCAAATCAAAGTTTTGGTAATATAGAGGTTTGAATTTCTGACCTTAACCCCAAATCAAAATCTTTAAGTTAGTGGGTACCAACTTGATCAAATTCTTTTTGAGAAACAACCTATTTATATACAAGTTTTACATGCTACACTTATACAAATTTGCAACCTTTAATCTCTCAACTTTTAATAGCTGAAATTTAGCATATTTTTTAAATAAAAAATAATTATCTTTAATAAAAATGATAAAAAAATAAATGTTAACTATTAAAAATAAAAAAATAAATAATTAAAATTTTTTATAAGTATGATGTGTAAGACTTTTAATAAATGGACCCTAAGTAAATTTCTTTCTACTATGGAAGGTTATACCGGATTGATTTGAGCGCATTTGGATAGGATACAACGTGAGATGAACACAGTTTAGGCCTTTTTTCCATTCTCCTTCTCCCCTGCCCTCTCGTCATCTTGCGAGAAATACCAAGAATTTCCTTCCCAATCATGTCAGTTAATGATGATATGCCAAGAGACTCTCACAAAGCCTCCTTCTCCTTCCTTAACCACCTTGCGAGGCTTCAGTTGAGCCGCTATGAGTCCAGGAAACGCCAGGATAGGAACACTTTTATACAGTACCTGAAGAACCAGAGTGTCCATGGTCTTGGTTGCTCAGATATCAGATGAAGTAATGAAGGTAGTGCTGAATTTAAGCCTCTGAATTCGCTTATGGTTTGTTTTGTGAAACTCAGTTTGAAATTTATAATTATTTGTTATGTGATCTCTACCAACTACTAAATATTGAGGACATATTTTTAAGTAAATTTTGATGTCACGAGTATTTGCAAGATTGGCTTTCATAGCTGTGTATATATTGTTGCTTTCCTCCCAGTGGCCATACGCACTTCATTCTCCACATTCTAGACGATTTTATGCCTAACTTATGCTGACTTCATTTTGATTATCATAAATTTCAAAGTTTATTGATTTTGCTAGCTTGGTGTTAATATCAAATGAGTAAAATAGTGATGTTTTCTGGATTCTATTAATGCAATCCCTTCTAATCCAGTAGCAGGGGAGGGCCTAGGATCTAGCGCTGGTTGTGATATCTCAAGTCCTTCATCTTCAACAATAGTCCGAGTATCTGCAAGAGATATGATATGTTTCGCGTTCAAGATTGGAATCCGTAGTTTGTCCAGAAGGAAAAGTAACAGTGAAAATGAACCACAAGGAGACTGTATCAATCTTCTCCCAAACTTTAACTTTAGGGAACATCAAATCCCATTGACAGCCCTCAGTGCAGAACATGGTTATGCCTTAACGTTTTAGATTAAAATGCTCTGCTCCAAGGTCCTCATCCCAAAGGAATATCTATTTTGTATTCAGCAACAATGTCTGAATGCAAGAAACGTTCAGCAAACCACCTATGACATCATATGACAATGTTTAGTCATATTGCTATACACTAACATGTGGCGTACCATTTGAAAAAGAAAAAAAAAGGCATTACAGACCTCTTTTTTTTTTATTTACTGCAGACACACGTATGGCTTTGTTGCTCCAGTCCAAATCACTCCATTCATCCACAGGCACAGCACCATCGTCATGAAAAAGCGTCACAACAAAATCACTAGAAGGAAGCTGCCACATGAAAGTGGATATTGAGCATAATTAGCATAAGACACATTGAAGAGAAAAGGCATTGATGAAGCAAGCATGCCTTTTTAACAATTTGATCCACAATGTCTTTTTGCTTAAATCCAACAGCTCTTAGATTTCTTTGAATTGACCTGAAATTGCAATTGAAGACACACCAGTGAGTGTTTTATTTCTTTGTTTTGAGCTCAACTTAAAACAAGCACATGAAACTATTAAATTGACTATCATTTGGTAATATATCAAACAATACATTTTCCACAGGGTAACTCCATAAAGGTCGCATCTCCAAGTTAGATGTTTCTGCAACAATTCCTTTAGGTAATGCTTTAGGTAATGCTTCACTTCCAGGAGCTCTGCATTGTTGCTATTTTAGATCAGGAAATAAAAGATATATCAGAAAACATTTCAAAAGGCTCAAACAAATGATACAAAAAGGACTCATTTTTCCAAAGGAGGCAAACCATGCATTTATTTGATTTTGCATTCTGCAATATATTAATCACCTTGCATCTTGATACTCTCTGCATACATGATTACAAAGTAGATAATTTTAATCAGAATTCAAGTCATACAGCCGTAGTTAATTTCCAAGACATCAATGAAAAAATAAAATTTAATTCGACCTGCAGAAATCATGTATGTTCCTCCAAGTAAAATTTCAGTAGAATTTATAAAGGCAGATATACATACTTCTTTATACTCCTCTGAGTTGAGTGCACTACTAATGAAGTAAGCACCACAAATCAAGGAAGCTACAACAAAGAGACTACAGAGACACGGCCTACTCTTTGAATCCGCTAGTGCAGAACCCTGCAATGCAAGACAATATTATAATAGCATGAGAAATGACAATCACAAGTAAATTATTGAGTGAATGAATTAGAACCTTAAACGGCAATAAAGTGTTTGTTTACTAAGCTGACATGTGAGAGAGACCGTCAGCAAAATCAACTTCAGACATGTCTTAGGTTGAGTCAAACATAGATGCAGAGGTGTCTTAATACAATGCCATTGGCTATTAACTAATCTAATGCCACTTAGTCAAACATCATCAGTGGAGAAAACAATGTAGTAAATGTCAACAGTGAATTCAGATAAGTTCTGACAAACCAGAACTGTCAAATTCAATTAAGTACTTAAAATTCTAATCCGTTTCTTTCCCTCAGTCTTCCCACGTTCAACCCCCAGCCCCCAAAAGAAAATCCGTTGAACAATTCAATTTCATCCAAGAGGCACGATTGGGGAGTCAAAAACACACTTTGTTCATGTACTAATGAAAATTAGAAAATAATTTACATATAACTCAAAAACCCGAATAATTAAATAAATAAGAAAGAAAATAGAAATAATTACTAGGAAGGGAAAGTAAATGAAAAGGCCCAGAATTTTGATTTTTTCCTTCTCCATCCTCATTTTCTCAGCAGCCAAACACAAGCTTAAAAGGCAAATAAAAATGATTTAATTCCTAAACCGGTTAAAAATACCCTCCTTTTCATTTCTTCAAAATCTCTGTTCATTTTATGATTAAGATAAAAAAAAAAAAAAAAAATCCTTGATCATGCATCATCATCAATCATCAATGTATCAAGAAATGAAGCAGAAAAATGAAACTAAACCGAAGTGCAATGTATAGTGAAGCGAAAAACCAACAGAAAATCAGCACAATCAAATAAAATCAACATAACTTCAAGATGTTACCTACAGAAAACATAAGGTTGAGAAAGAGGAGGGGGGAACTTACATGGTTGAAACTTGAAAGTCTTCATTTTGGAAGAAATATCCCAAACCCAAAAGAGCCAGAGACAAATGTGAAAAGAGAGATATACCCAAGTAAATAAAAGTGCTTTTCTTCCTCAATAAAAAGTCTACAGCTAAAAGCAAAGAATGAGAAAGGGGAGAAAAAGACGGGACAAAAATAGAAGAGAGTATCAAGGAGAAAAAAATAAAAGGGGGAGGGAAAAGCAGAGGACTTTCTTTGATAACTGTTGAAGAAACGGTGTCGTATATCTGAAGCAAGAGGCAAAACAATGGCATCCAAGAAAAGGAGATGGGAGAAGCAAGAAAGCATTAACCTTTCTTGCAAAGAGGATGAAATTGAAAGAAATAAACTTTTTAAGGGAATAAAATATCAGTTTTAATGGTACTTGGGTTGTTTCATGTTTTTGATTCCTGTCTGTAAAAAAAAAAAAAGGAAAATAATTATAGAAAATGAGGGTGCGTTTAAGACGTGCTGTTGGAGAAGGAAGGTGAGTGTTGCACGGGGGAATGTAGGAACGTGGGAGAAATTCCGAGTTTGGAAACATCAGTCTTCGCAGGAGTAGGGGCGTGACATCACTCGCTTGACTTTGTTAACACGTGTCTTTTGTTGCTTCGTGGTCCGAACGGTGTAACATGGATAGGCCTATTAAGCAGAAATGACCCAAATCATGATAAGCACCGATCCACTTACTTACGAGCTCCTTCTTTATTTTTATTTTTTATTTTAAATTATATAATAAAAATAACTTTTTTTATTATTATTTAATTTATACTATTCATATATTATACAATATATGATTCACCTCCATATTTTTTATAAGTATTCTCAATCATAATTTTATATAAATTTAACAGAGTTTAATGTGTTTTAACCTTAATTTTTAAAAATAATTAAAATCTTAATTTATATTTAAA